TAAGCCTATTTATGCAAGCTGTTCCACTAATTTCAAAAGGACTGCTTGCTTGAGTAAGGACTTACTCACATCAGCAAGAGTTTGCAGTGAGCAGTCCCTTACTAAAACCAGCTGCTGAGCACATTTTTCCACACCCAGACTGGAACTGCACTTTGATCTTGCCATTCCTCATATAACATTTGAGAACTGCAAATTGTGTGATGATTTCATAATCAAGGATGGGCTACATCCAAGTTAAAAGTTCTGGTAATACTGCCTCTGACTCAAACTCCAAGTCATATTATCAAACATTCACATGATATAGCAGTTCTGAATACCTCACTAGAACGAATTATCTTCGAAATAAAAATATATTCATTTTGAAATCAAGTATAGTTTTCACTTTCATATTTTAACAAGACAGGTCAGGCAGCAATTAAAAACATTCCTATACCTGAATATGGTGCAACGAAATGTAAGAGATCACTTACTTTTCAGATTAATTTCTTAGTTTCTTTCTCTTCTCATTTTTGTCGTCTGTTCTGCCAATTTTCTTTATATTTTCTTCTCTAGGGCTGTTTTTCCCAGACATTACTCTGGTTTTGTACTAATCTTTTCTCCCTTATTATCCTCTGTCTCTCTTCTTCTTCTTTGGAAGTTCTCTATGCTCAAACTGCCCAGTTCCAGATGCCATTCCTAAATGCCCCATTCTAACATCTCAACTGCCGTTCTTAAATTCCCAGTCCTAACTGCACCGCCTCATTGACTGGTATGAATGGATATGGATATGAACATTCTCCATCTACTCTAATTCAAATGTCAGATTCCAACTATTTGGTCTTAAGCACCTGCTCACAATTGCCCAGTTAAAACTGCCTCTCTTAAATGTCTAAATCTGAATGGTCAGGATATGTCTACACAGCAGTGTCAATTTGGAATAACCTCAATTGTTCTGAAATAACTATGTGAGTGTCTACGCAGCTAGCCCGTTATTTCGAAATAATTTCAAAATAATGGGCAGCTTATTTTGGTGTTTGTAAACCTCATTCCACAAGGAATAATGCCTCTTGCGAAATAGCTTTTTTGGAATAGCAGTAGTGTGAAATAGCTCCTCCCCCAGGCCATTCAGAGTAATTACTCCCCAGTGCTTCCTGGGGCTCTAAGCTGAGGTAGCGTATCCACAATAGGGGAGCCTGCCTCTGACTAATTTCCAGGCTTCCCTGTAGTGTAGATGCGGTATTTAGTAATAAGCTATTTCAGAGTATTTCTTCTGGAATAGCTTATTCTGAAATAATCGCGCAGTGTAGATGTAGTCTCATAGACCCTTCTGCACCCAGTATTTCATCTCTTTTCCAACCAAAGAGGCACAAGCTGAAATTTTCTGAGGCTGCATGAATGACAGCAAGGTAAAGGCTATCATCCTTTGTGTAGCTAATTACTGCTACAAATGGGATAAAGAGGAGGCCAACAAGTATTTTTTTTACCTCTGCTCTACAGCAAATTTTGAACCCAACTCTTCAGAGGTGGAAGGCCCAAGTGTCCAAAAGGAAGTAAGAGAAGTTCTCAATAGTTCACAGTCATGCTGGAAGGGCATAACAAGTATGGTTCTGTAGAGATCAGTTTTGGGATTGGTTCTGTTCATCTTCATTAACCATTTAGATAATGGCATAGAAAGTATGCTTATTAAGTTTGGGGATAATACCAAGCTGAGAGGGGTCGCAAGTGCTTTGGAGGATAGGAGTATAATTCAATATGTCCTGAACAAACTGGAGAAAAGGTCTGAGGTAAATAGGATGAAATTTAATAAAGATAAATGCAAAGTACTCCACTTAGGAATGGTCAATCAGTTTCACGCATACAAAATGAAAAGTGACTGTCTAGGATGGAGTACTGCAGAAAGGAATCTAGGGATTATAATGGACGACAAGCTAAATTTGAGCCAACAGTGTGACACTGCTACAAAAACAAAAAAAGGAATAATTCTGGGATGCATTAATAAGAGTGTTGTAAGAAAGACACAAAAAAGTAATTCTTTTGCTCTACCCGGCGCTGATTAGGCCTCAGATGGAGTATTGTGTCCAGTCGTGGAAAGATGTGGTGAAATTGGAGCAGGATGAGAAGAGCAACAAAAATGATTAAAGATCTAAAAAAACATGACCTGTGAGGAAAAGACTGAAAGAACTGGGTTTGTTTAACCTAGAAAAGAGAAGGTATGATAACAGCTTTCAAGTAGGGATGTACGAGACTAGTCGACTATCTGATAAGAAGCAGCTTTATCAGATAGTCAACTAGTGATACCTCTCCCCTTGCTGCTTCTATCAGAGAGACAGAGAGAGAGAGAGCAAGAGGAAGGAGAGCAGCAGCTTGTGCTGCAGGGAGCTGGTTTAAAAGCCAGTTCCCCCCAGCACCTTCTTTGCAGGGGCAAGGCAGGTAGAGGCACAGCAGAAAATGGCATGAGCAGAGATTGAAGAAGTCTCCTTTTGCACAGCTTCTGCTATGATTCATTTTTGAAATGTAGGGCTCTTGCTAGAGTTCACAGGCAGAGGCGTCCTTATAGACTAATCCAATAGCTATAACTATTTGATTAGTTAATTCAAATTAGTTAACTCATCTAACTAAATTAATCTAAATTAGTTAATCTAAATTTAACATCCCTACTTTCAAGTACTTAAAAGGGTGTTAAAAGGAGGTGGGAGGAAAATTATTCTTCATCTTTGATGACAGGATAAGAAATAATGGGCTTAAATTGTAGCATGGGAGGTTTAGGATGGACATTGGGAAAAACTTCCTGTCAGGGTGGTTAAGCACTAAAAGAAATTGCCTAAGGAGGTTGTGGAATCTCATTGGCAATTTTTAAGAGCAGTAGACAAACATCTGTCAGGGATGATCTATACTTGGTCCTGCCATGACTGGACTTAAGAACATAAAAATGGCCATAACGGGTCAGACCAAAGGTCCATTGAGCCCAGTATCCTGTCTTCCACAAGGTGGCCAATGCCAGGTGCCTCAGAGGAAGTGATGATCAGCCTCAATTGTTACATTAGGAATAGCAAGATCAAGGTACAGCCCTACCTGACCTGCTCTCCCCCTCCTGATTTTCCTGCTCCCTCATCCCTCCGTCCCCTCCCTCTCCTGTCACTGCCTCCTCTTTCAGCCCTGCCCCCACCAACTCACCCTGGTT